TTCTGAATCCCTCGAGGACAGACTGCATCTAGAACCTCCTGTGTGTGCCCATGGGCCGAGCGCCTATTCCTGTGTCTTGCGTGGAAGCCAGTGCGCTGGATTGTGTGTGAAAACCAAACGGTAACACACCCGTATCCAAGCTGGAAGGCCCTCTTGCCATCCGCTGGCCCACTCCTCAGTGAGATTCCGTGAGGGAGACGGAGGCTCAGAGAGGTGCCGAGAGAGTGGTCCTCAAGGTCACTCAGCCTTCAGAACCCCGGTGTTGGCCGCTGCCTGGCAGGTGCCGCTCTGAGGCCTCGGGGGTCAGCCTTCCTCTCTCAACGTCTAGTCTCACAGGATGCTGGGAAGGGCCTGGCATGACCTTCCCCTCCAGGCCACAGCCGGTCTCAGGCCTGAGTGGAGCCCCAGAGTCCATAGTGGACAGCACCTGGGGGCCGGGGGATGGGGCCTGGAAGAACAGTCCTTACCTTCCATAGACTCACATGCTCGCTCCAGGGCCAGCCCAGCAGACTGCTGCTCTGTAGGATGCACCCGGGCCAGTGCCCACCTGCCGCCTCAGGGAAGTACTGGGGGCCGAGGGAGAGGCCAGGACATCCATTTTGAGTGGCTGGATTGGGGGTGGGAAGCCAGTTCTGGTTGGATGTTCCCGTTTGCGGGACATAGATTTTCCTTCTCCCCGCTTCCTGTCTCATCCCCGCTCAAGACTCAACATCCCTCATTGCATCTAGAACCCCTTTGTGTGCGTGGCACAGGGCTGGCCCCCAAATGATGCTCAGGGAGTGTTTGCTGTCTGAAGGGATGGGTGAGGCGGGGCCGACGCTTCCTCATCTCAGTGTTGCTCTGCCCAGTGCAAGCCCCATAAGCTGCTCTCGGTGAATGTTGATGGGTAAGTGCCTCTTCCTCCTCTCACCCCCTTCCTCTGTGATTCTCGCCTCCTAGAGCAGAACCAGAGCAGAGGTGGGCATTGGGGAGCAGCAGGCCTTTGCCTCTGCTCCCTCCTGCCCAGCGACTAGGATGTGGGGGCTGCACAGGGTGAGGCTCTGGGGGACTGACACCTGGTCTCTGCCACCTAGAAGCTGTGGGGCCTTGTGCAGATCACTCCCCCTCGGTGACCATTTCCCAATCTGTAAAATGGGCTGAAAACAGAGCCCGGCAGAAGGATTGAGGCATGACAGAGGCGGCAGGGAGCTGCGGCCCGGGGGCTCAGGACATGCTCCCTGCTGTTCTCAGTCCTCAGGCGAGCATTGCAGACAGGCAGGGGAGATGACAAAAGACAGACAGGGCCAAAGGCCCCAATTCCCCATTCTTTTAATAAAAATAAAGACAGCCTTTCGATGCCCTTCTCCCAGGCATTGTTCTGCCAAGGAGAGCAGCACAGACTCACTTCCTGGTCCTGGAAAATCCTTCCCTTCCCTCCCCTCCCCTGTCACATCTCCTTTATCTAAATCCTCAGCTATGAAAGGGCAGATCGACAACTGGGGCGTTATCTGGTGGAGGGGACCTTTTCCTAGGGGTGCCTCCGAGATAAGGAGTCTTATCAGCCCCCGCGTCAGGGACGGTGCGAAGCCTTCTAATCATTGAGGCTTTCGACATTTCCCCCCCGCCCCCGTTTTTATTATTAAAGTCACAAAAGACGTGCTTATAAACAGCCCGATTTGCAGAGAGGGTTTCAGAATGAGCAGCCCTCCCAGCAGGGCCTCTGGCTGGGCTCCCCGGGCTGGCTGTCTGCAGGTGGGATGCTGCTAAGCAGAGAGGGCAGGGTGGGATCAGGGCGGGTCATGAGTGTTTTCGGCGCCTGCCCTATTTCTGTTCCCCACTTGCTGTGTGACCTTGTGCAGGGCACTTGGCTTCTCTGGGCCTCAGGGCTTCATCTGACAGTAACCCATTCATTGGTTCAACCATTCATTCAACGCCTGTGTATTAAAGGTTACTCTTGGCCAAGCCCTGGGAAGAAAGAAACAAGTAAGACTTGGTCCTTGCCCTGAGAAACTCAGAATCCAGTGGAGAGAGACAGACACGAACATGGGCAATTACAACTCGGTGCGATCGGGGCTGAGGCAGGGCACCCAGAGAAGGGGAGGCAGCATGGGAGTTACAGCGGATCTATGGCAGTGCTGAGGCAGAGGGGCCTGCACAGGCAGCGGTCCGAGGTGTGAGGCAGCCAGGCCAGAGGGAGGTTTAGGAGGGATGAGGGCCAGGCAGTGAGGGTCAGGCTCTATTCCGAGGCCAGAGAGAGGCGGTGAGGCCGAGGAGGGATCTGCGTCTTGTATGTAGCTGATGGGTGGATGCAAACGACATGGCGGTCCCCTGCCCAGCCACAGGGCAGGGAGGATGCGCAGGGAGGTGGGAACTGGGGTGCAGAGAATCCCTCCTCTCGGAGTGAACACTGAGTGTGGGCTGCAGCGCACTGCCTGCTGGGACTGCAGAAGTTAGGGGTGAATCCAGGCAGCTGCTCTGGAAAAGTTGAGCTGAGGCCTCCTGGGGAATCCTCTGTGGCCACACGCTGGGGCAGGTGACCTCTGGGCTCCCAGATCTGCCTGGGCTTCCGCCGTCAGAACCCTCCCTGCTGACTACTGTGGTCCCAGCCTGGCTCTCACCTGCAGAGCATGCTGGATGCGTGGCCCCGGGACCTGTGAGGTGGGGCCGGGAAGGGCTGGGCTTCTGTTGTAAGAGAGGGCAGCACTTTTCCTGGGCCCCACAGTGGACACGGGCTGGGGAGGCTCCGGCTTCCAGCCAGGTTTCTTGCACACAAGTCGCTGGCCGCCCTCTTCTCCGGCCCAGGCCTGCCCGGGCTGCCGGCAGCAGAGGAGCCCAGGGTGAGAGGGCGGCTCGCCCCGCCACTGCTTGGGGGTGGCCCTGGGCAGGGTGCTGCTGCTCTCTGGCTGGGGTTTCCCTCTCTGTGGAGGGCGAGACTTGGGCCCTGCAGCCAGCGGGCCTTCTCCGGCCTCCCGTCTGTCCCCCGGCCCCTGCATCAGGGTGGCAAGACTGGACACTGCACGGGGCTGGAGTGGGGAGAGGCCGGGCTGTGTGCGGGGTAGCCACAGGCCTCTGACCCCCGAGGTGTGCACGTGACTGTGTGTCCGTGGACTGCATGTGTGTGCATGAGAGGGTGCCAGAGGGTACAGAGGGCTTGTCACGTGGTGTGGGTGAGGGCGGGACAGTGTGTGCCCATCTGCAGGAAGACGTAAGCAGTGAGTGAGATGAGGGAGGTGCGTGCGGAGGCGTGTCCGGCTGTCCCCGGTGTCTGAGCCGGGCAGGGTGTGCCCGTGTGTGCAGGTGTGTCCTAAAGGGCCCCATCGAGGCCTGCTCCCACCGCCGCTCACGGCCCCAGTCCCCAAAGAGCCGCCTCGTTCCGCAGTGAAGGGCTTTCATCTCTGCGAGAAGCCCACTCCTTTCCCTTTTAAACTGTATGATTCCTGCCTGATTGTAACGGCATATTTTACAATTACCAGAAATCAAAGCCGGGAAGTGGATGCTGCAGCTCTGACTGTGTCGCTGCGTTAAAGCTGGTGAGGAGGGGGAGAGGATGAGCG